AGGAATGTCCTTTCCAACTTTAGTTTTCTGACTCTGTGTGTGTAAGCAACCCTCTAGAATGGGGAAAATGCACCAAATGAGCCTGATTTTGAACACTTCTTGCCTGCAGCCCCCCTCCATAGGATGTGTGTGTGTGTTCAACCTTTCTTCTGGCCATCAGGCCAGTCAGACCTATACTAATGCTCCAGTCCCAAAGAGCTCACAGTCTAAAGGTGTGATCCAAAGTGTATGGCATCCATAACACTGGACTTTGGACAAGTTGTGCAATTCAAAAACCCCCTGGAAAGGGCCATGGAATTGTCCTGGTGACTTCCACACTTCACACTTAAAAAAAATGTTTCCCCCGAGCTCCTGAAGGAGAGGACAGGGAAAGAGAGCTTGGAAAACTTTCATTAGGAAGCTGAGGTCAGCATATGCAGTAGCACAGAAGCTGTGAAGGTGGCAGCAGACACAGGGAGTGTCAGGAGAGAAGCTGGGTGCGGCATAGGGAATGGGAAGGGGTGTGGGAGGAAATGTGTGCAGAAATGCAGAGATTTTGTCCCCAGGCAAAAGGCTTCCAGACAGTTCTTCAGAAGCTCCTTGTACCTTCCTCCCTCCTTAGTATTCCACCTCCCATAAAAATTAATAAGCAGCTTCTAGATGGCAATCAGCTGCAGATTACAGCCATCCTGGTAATGGCACCTTCTGCTTAACAAGAGTTGTCTCTTATTTCCACATAGCAAATATTGTACATATTACACATGGTTTTGATCTCAGCAGGAGTTGGCAATGGACACATTAAAGAAGAGGGAAGTGAGGGAATTCTGTGATCCGACCTGGATTTTTTTATCCTTAAAGGGAACTAAAGCTATAAAGTATGTTAGTGGGACTACCGACGTATGGCTATTTACAAGCGCATGACTCTCCATACAGTTCTGAATGCAACTAAAAGATAGATTAGATAAATATACATGTTAAATGCACAGATTAGTAAATACCCTTTCTTTTATATTCTGTCCAAAAGCTCCAGAAAACTAGATCTGGTCAAAAACCAGTACCAATAATTTACATGACAAAAATTGGCCTTTTGGTGGTTGAATAAGTATGAGTGATTTGTTTGTGCATTGTCCTGCCAGTTCTGTAGAAAAATGAACAAAGAATTCAATCAGTGCCTTTTTCTCCATTGATTGTCAAATAGATTATTCACTAATACATGGTTTCATTATTTATTCAGCACTAGACTAAACACATTCTACTAAACATAGTTTTCAGCATCATGTTTCGGTTTATACTTATTTTTTTCTCTGGACATGAGAGAAAATCTTTGAACAGTACTTACTGATTCCTATCAAGCATGTTTGACAAGGTATTTTAATAAGAAGAAAAGGAAAGGAGCTAAAATAGTATATTTTGAGATCGATATGAATCTTTCCACTGATTGCAATAGGAACTGGATTTTTCGGAAGCCAAATACAGTAATATTAGCAGTTTTGAAGGTTTAGTAAATATTGCCCTTTGCAAAAAAACCATAATTTCATACTGCACTTACCAAAAGACAGATCTGGGCCTTGGATGGAGTGAGCAATCAGTGCTTAATGCTATATAGCTGAGCAGCAGATTTCTTCCCAGTATTGCTCACAGGGATTTAGTTATAAAGCACATAGAACAACATGCCTGTGCTACCCATAGCTCTACTTATGTTAACTTTCATATATCTAGGCTTCTGTATGGTTAATTTCTCAGTGTGGGTGTTGAGTTGGTACAGGTGTTCGCATTTAATTTCTCTGCACCAGTTCCACAGCTGATGCAATTCAGCCCAGTGATGTTTAAGGAGCTAGTCTACTTTTTTTTAGTAAATGTGAAAAGTAAGGAAAAAAAAAAAGGAAAGTGAAATATGGATCTCTGTACTGGTACAAAATACACTGTTGCTGCTGTGCAATAGCAGAAGGGTATCCAAGTTAGGGGTTTCTACAGTGAAATAACAACATAAGCCTGCAGAACTTAATGGACTGACAGACTGAAAAATGCATCCAACTAAATAGCATATCTTTACTGCAAGTCAGCAAAAACGGTCTATGTTCTCTCTGTCTTCAGAGAAACAACTATTAGATGGTTGCTGCCATCACATTATTTTCAAAGGAAAATGAATAAGCTGTGCTGTTAATTTTATGCAAATTCATGCTGCGTATCTATGAAAATTATATTTATCACAGTACTAGCATGATTAAGTCCGCCTCTTTCAAGGAGGTGGCATACTTTATCCCTAAACTAATTTGCCCAACAAGAATCCTTGGCACATGCCCTGCAGTGATTACAGCTATTAATCATGATTTCAGTAAAGACCCTAATCAGGATCAAGTGTTAGGCACATGTAATCTGAGACAGTCCTTGGCCTGCAAAGATTACAGTCTGAAGAGTCACAAATAGACAATTAGGCTTGGCAAAGTTTGGAAGCCCTGGGTGTGGTGGAGGACTTGCTCTCTTCACCCCATTCAGCATGTGGGTACAGGACAAGCACAGCCTCTGGGAAGGAAGCAGGCACACTGACAGACACAGCAGTACTCTCTGCCAAAGGAAACCGCCTCCTCCCACTCCTGCCTCCTACAGAACTCTCTCAACTAGAAGGTTCATTTCAGATGCTATGCAGGATACTTTGGAGGGCAAGGCAATTGACCTTAGCCCAGACTATTCTCTCCTGCAAGATCACTTGGTTGATTCTGCTCATGGCTTATTGAAAGGAGCATCACTTGGAAGGCCTTCTCCATACAGTTGTTAGTGTTTTCTTTGTGCAGACCTTTAAGCCTGAATCAGAATAACTAGGTTAGAATGAGATGCTGACATTAAAAAGGTATGTAACTAACGCCTAACTTTCCAGCTGCCTAAATGTATGGCACATTTCATCTCACAGAAATCATTGCATCTGAAAACAACGGGTTTTTGTCCTGGCCATGAAGGTGTACACCCGAAGTACAGCTTAGTAGGACTTTATACCTCCAAAGGCATTAGACATATCTAAAGTGGAATAGAGGATTTAAATGTGCATATGTGTGTGTGGAGGTGGGGGTGTAGTTTTATACCCACACATGCACCCAAGCTCACACTTTTTTCAAAAGTGACTAATAATTTGGGATTTTTCAGAAAGTGAAGATATCCCCCTTTTCTTTGTGAAGGTGTCTCAACTCAGGCACCTGTAATTACCAGGCACTTCTGAAAAACTCAGAGCCACTCACACAAACACAAGCACACATTTTCACACACACTTCACACCATTTAATTTAGATGCACCTTATCAGGGAATCTACCTAATGAGGAAAACTCAGTTAAAAACCAATGAGGCTTTACTAGTAATGACTGCATCTTCAAGAGATGGTAATGCCATTTAATTAGGATGCCTTCAGGGTATTTAGTAGTTATTTATACTGCTTGGGCTTTTGTGTCTCAAGCTCAAGCTAATTATGTCTGTCTGCTCTTAAAACAGAGCTTTCAGATCCTCTTTAGTAAAGATACAGGCAGACAATGAGGTAAGTTACTTTAGCAATTCTTGCTTCTAGCTGCTACCTGGTATAAGACAAGCAAATAGCCTGATACAGGGGTTTTTTTCTGTGACTGGGGTTGTTCCCTGTTCTACTAGATATGCTGCTTTCTGCTGTCTCTTTGGACCTATGAGGTACCCTGGAGAACTCACTACAGTGTGCCAGAATGCTGCTTTAACACTGAAATGGCATTCTCTACTTTATATAACAAAATAAATCACCACCCACCAAGGATGTCCCAATATAACAAGATCCCATACAGGCAACTTACAGTCTAAATGTGTGTTGTTGCCCTGCCATTAAGTGCAATAATTAAATAAAATAAGATAGTTTCATAGTTTCTAGGGTCAGAAGGGACCTGAGAAGATCATCTAGTCCGACCCCCTGCCATGGCAGGAAAGAGTACTGGGGTCAAACGACCCCAGCAAGATGTTCATCTAACCTCTTCTTAAAAACCCCCAGGGTAGGAGCCTGCACCACCTCTCTTGGAAGTTGGTTCCAGACCCTAGCCGCCCTGACCGTGAAGTAGCGCCTTCTGATGTCTAACCTAAACCTACCCTCTG